AAAATAATGAATCTTAACTAGTCATAAGTTGGCCTGTGATACTCCAATACTGAAACTATGTATAGTGCCAAAACAAAAGCATTCACATTGCTAAACTCACAAACTAGTATTTAGTCACTTAGCCATAATACCAACTTACCTCATAATTTTGTAATATTTTAAACTTAAGATTTAATTTAAGTCTGCCCGAAATGCCTAGGCATGCTAGGTGTTCTAGTGGTACACTCTGTAATTATTTTTTTACTACATGTAAACCACACAATAACCAAATTCTGTAAACTCAGCATTGTAATCCTTATAGAGAATAAACTTTGAATTTGAATTTGAATTAGTTAACGAAAGAGTAAACGAGAGAGCGAACGAGATACAGAGTTCAGACAATGTAAGAACACAAACTGAACAGGCAATCACTTGGTCAGGCGAAATAAATGCATAATAATGTGTGTCTGCTTTTAGTTCATTCACGTACGTTTGTATGAGTTTGTAAAACTTTTACCTCGCAATATTTTTTTATTATAATTACCTCGCAATACAAATACAGTGGACCCCCGCTTAACGATCACCTCCAAATGCGACCAATTATGTAAGTGTATTTATGTAAGTGCGTTTGTACGTGTATGTTTGGGGGTCTGAAATGGACTAATCTACTTCACAATATTCCTTATGGGAAAAAATTCGGTCAGTACTGGCACCTGAACATACTACTGGAACGAAAAAAGTTCGTTAACCGGGGGTCCACTGTACTCTTACATTGTGTACAAGTTGTACAAGTTAGTACAGAATAAACAAAGAGCAACACTCCCATTCTCATGCAACACACCATTTTTAGAGTGGATGATGATGATATTATTATTATTATTATTATTGTCATAATAAAAAATGCACTAAACCCACAAGGGTCGTGAATTGCTATATATAGAGTGAAGGCATACGAAAGGAATATTTTTCTACAGTTATCCTCCAGTATTTGACTAGAAAAAACATAATTCTTTCGACACTACCTACACAGCCTCTTTGTAAACAAATCTCATATTTACGTCAATTTTCATTCTATGAGTGTACGTATCATGTTTATATGCTATGTAACTTGTTTCTTATATTATTTTGAAGAAAATATCATAGATGGATTACTGAAAATGTCTATATTAATGTAAAATAACACATTTATTGTGCCCAAGAGTGATTATTATTATGTAGTGTTACTGTGGCGTCATGAGTAGAGAGATTCTTAGCGATTTAATGTGTACCTGCACACCAGCACAGTGTAAAAGTATATTTAGGTACAGGTACAAATAAGTATAATTATAATAAATATAATTAAAGGAGGGGTTTGGGATATTGGCAGTTTGGAGGGATATGTTGTGTATCTTTATATGTGTATGCTTCTAGACTGTTGTATTCTGAGCACCTCTGCAAAAACAGTGATAATGTGCGAGTGTGGTGAAAGTGTTGAATGATGATGAAAGTATTTTCTTTTTGGGGATTTTCTTTCTTTTTTGGGTCACCCTGCCTCGGTGGGAGACGGCCGACTTGTTGAAAAAAAAAAAAAAAAAACGTACATATGAAATACGTAATAACTTTAAAACACTTGAAATTTTGGAAAGTTTCCAGACATAATAGATGTTGTCATGGAGAATGTAAACAAATCAGGTGGGGTGCATCATATTTGAAAGACCACTTGCCTTATAGCAAATTTTGGTCATAATTTGACATAGCCATATTAGCAGAACGCCGTAAGGTGAAACGCCGTAAAGCGGGGCCCTACTGTAATTGAAATTTCTCATCACTGAACTTCATATTGTTTTCTGCAGCCCATTTAAAGATTTGGTTGATGTCCATCTGGAGTCTTGCAGTGTCTTCAATGGAGGACACTGTCATGCAGATTTGGGTGTCATCCGCAAAGAAAGACACAGCGCTGTGGCTTATATCCCTGTCTATGTCCGATATGAGGACGAGGAACAAGATGGGAGCAAGTACTGTGCCTTGTGGAACAGAGCTTTTCACCATTGCCGCCTCAGACTTTACTCTGTTGATTACTACAGGTCTCCCTCAACATTCAAGTTTTCCACTTTTGCAGGCTTTGAACATTCGCGAATTTCCAGCTGCCAAATCATATTTATGCTGAGGGCTTTGAAGGTGATGAACAACATTGATTGAGGCATAATTCCCTGCAAAACTCTGTTTGCAGATGAATGGTTCAGAGAACCAACAGGTTGATAAATTAGACACATATACAACACTTGGGTATCTTTAATCAGGAAACATTTCGCCATACAGTGGCTTCATCAGTCCATACAAATTAGAATGGTGAAGGTAAGGCTTTTGATAGAGTACTGCACCAAAGACTGTTAAAGAAAGTGGCAGCTCATGGCACTGGGGGAAAAGTGCTCTCATGGATCGAGCCATGGCTCATAGACAGGTAGCAGTGTGCATAAATAGGGTTAAATCCAAGTGGGGAACTGTAACAAGTGGCATTCCACAGGGATCAGTCTTGGGCTCATTGTTGTTTATAATATATATCAATGATCTTGATGAGGTAATTACTAGTGAAATGAGCAAATTCGCAGATGACACAAAGATAGGTAGGATAATTGATTCAAATGTACATATCAGGGAACTTCAGGAGGATTTAGACAAACTCAATACCTGGTCAGAAAAGTGGCAGATGCAGTTCAATGTAGATAAATACAAGGTTCTGAAGCTCGGGAGTGTCCATAACCCCAACACTTATAAGTTAAATAATGAAGAACTTAGCTATTCAGATTGTGAAAAGGACCTTAAACCAAGACAGCAATGGCTAAGTGTACATAATAAGGCAAACAGATTACTGGGATTTATATCAAGAAGTGTAAGCAACAGAAGTTCAGCAGTTATATTACAGCTTTATACATCATTAGTAAGGCCTCACTTAGATTATGCAGCTCATTTCTGGTCTCCATATTACAGAATGGACATAAATTCATGAGAAAACATTCAGTGTAGAATGACTAAATTAATACATAGCATTAGAAATCTTCCTTATGAAGAAAGACTGAAGATCCTTAAATTACATTCACTTGTTAGACAAAGAATGAGGGGAGACATGATCGAAGTGTATAAGTGGAAGATGGGTATTAATAAAGGGGATATAAATAAGGTCTTGAGGATATCTCTCCAATGAAAAACCCACAGTAATGGATTCAAATTAGACAAGTTTAGATTTAGAAAGGATATAGGAAAGTATTGGTTTGGAAATAGAGTAGTTGACAAGTGGAACAGTCTGCCTAGTAGGGTTACTGAGGCTAAAACCATGGGTAGTTTCAAATTTAGGTTGGATGGATAAATGAGTAAGAGGGGTTGGATTTGAATGGGACTTGCACACGAGTTAATAAAATTATCAAAGCTTATTGCTTGGGTAGAATTGAAAATTGGGTTGGGCAAATATTCTGTTAGTGGGATGGACTGTGAAGGACCTGTCTAGTATGGGCCAACAGGCCTGCTGCAGTGTTCCTCCTTTCTTATATTAACCCTTTCAAAGATTTTTACGATATGGGACATTGGTATTATTGGTCTGTAGTTCTATTGGGGTTGTCTGTTGATTTTAGTAACTGTGGGACAACCCCAATGTCCATGCTCCCTCTCCATAGGATGTTAAGAGCATGTGATAGGGGCTTCTTGCAGTTCTTGACGAACACGGAGTGCGACAAGCCTGGGCCTGGGGCAGAGTGCATAGCCATGTCATTTATCACCTTTCTGAAGTCATTTGGCATCAGGATAATATCAGATAGGCGTGTGTCTACCAAATTCTGTCTCTCATAAAAAATTCATTTAGGTCTTCAACTCTCAGTCTGGTTAGCGACTCACTAAAAACCAAGTCATATTGGGACTTGAGTAGCTCACTCATTTCCTTGCTGTCATCAGTGTAGGACCCATCCTGTGGAAAGGAGGATCAAAGAACTGTCCTATATAGCTCTTTACAGCTCTCTGCTTGTCTGCAAGGTCTGCCACTTTTCCTGGACATACAATACAATGGAGTTTAAAAAAAAACTGCAAGTCTGCTATAGAGAGCACCTCATACAGTAGCCATCCTATTTTGCTTCACCCTCTCTTAATGTCCAAACCACCTCAACAACTCCTCTTCAGCCCTCTAGATAATAGTTTTAACCATGCACCTCCTCCTAATCTCCAAGCTATGAATTCTCTGCAGAATATTTACACCGCCCATTGTCTTTTGACGTGACATCTCAAGTGCCTCCAGCCTTCTCCTCACTGCAGCATTTATAACCCAAGCTTCACACCCATATAAGAATCTCAGTACCACTACTCTCTCATACATTCCCTTCTTTGCCTCCATTAACAACATTCACCGTCTCCACAGCTGCCTTGACACACCACCCACCCTCTTTCTCTTATCAATCCTACGGTTCACCCTGTTTCTCATCAACACAAATTCACCATATATAAGAATGACTTTTGCTTGTGAAGGGCTACTTATCTGAATAATCAAATTAGTTTTAGTGAGCTGCTTATTTTGTCTCACCACAGCATCCCTCAGTCTCTCTTTAGATTCAAAGTATAACCAGGGACAAACTTTACAAAACCCCCCCTCCCAAAATCTCCTTCCCATCAGTGTATCAGGCATCATAACTTCCACCAACACATCGACATAGACCATGATCCAGTAACTGGGGACATTAAAGAGCTAATTACACTCATCACCCTTCGCACTGTAAGAAATGTGATATAGCCACAACAACTCAAGCTTTCTTGAAATCAATCTTGAAACTAATCCCTTGCAATCAATAAGATGAATATGTAAGTCTAGAAATTTAGAAAACAATTCATCTCTTTCACATTTAATTTTGTACAAATACTTATAGTACAATACCGTACACTTCCCAACTACATTATTACATGTTCATCATTCATAAAAGGTACTGTACTACTTACAGCATCCAAAATTCTACACAAATGGATACTTTAAAAAATAAAGGCATGAAAAACTACACACAATAACTAACCACTTGGATGTTGAGGTGCCGCAAAGCCATGCGGAGACACGTACGAAGACCAACAGGTGCAACCCACCATACTTTAGGCGGTGGTGTGCCTTTCACTGTTACATGTTTTAGCACCTGAGAGCAAAAATAAGAAATAAAACAAAATTAACAGGAGCTTAGCTAATTTTATTTGCAAGCAATATAATTCAAGACATTACAACAAAATTATTTTAGCTTATTTTCAATACTTTGCTTCTTCCCAAAAAAGAAAAGCAGTCAGACGGAATCATTCCCAACAATGTAATAAAATGTCACATGTCAATCTGGATTCCAAAATACCTGAAATTTTCATTAAGAATTTTTTATACTGCTTTTGCTAAAGACGTTGCTACTGCTAGCTTACAATGAATGCAGCACTTGCAGACAAGAGAAATTTCTTCTACGGCTGTACATGGAAAGGAGAGAATCTATTTGGTTCAATCCCTACTCACAAATTCCTACATTACACACTGCTCAGGCCACCAACATCTATGACATTTAGTGAGCACAATGCTGGGATTCAGCCTTAAAAAAAAAAAAACACTTTCACCATCATTCACACACAATCACTGTCTTTGCAGAGGTGTCCAGATATAACAGTTTAGATGTCACTCCAAACAGCCAGTATCCCAAACCCTTCCTTTAAAGTGCAGGCAATGTATTTTCCACCTTCATGACTCAAGTCTAGCTAACCAGACTTACCCATCATAACACAAACTAAAAAAGAAAATATGTATGTACTACACTATTACTAAAAACCTGGAGTGGCATTTATTTTCTACAATTTCCACAATACAACATGAAGATACTATACTCTGTGAAGACGTGTCTTGTGTGCTCTCCGTGAATCTAAACAAGATGTCCTCTCTTGAGCAACTCTACCAGCAGCTAAAGGAAGAACTGAGGGTGGCTAAGCTTGAGATACAGCAACTGACTGAGGAAAACAAGAAGATCCGTAGTAATCCTCCTTTTGAGAATCCTCAAGCCAAGAAAGGAACCTGGACAGTGGCTGGAAAGCATGGAACAAGTTAAGGATCAAGAGGACGGAAGGAGAGGTAGAATCAACGAAGATCCAGGAAACTGTTGTGGAAACATCGAACCCATTCTCCGTGCTACCCAATGAATGAGAGTCAACTACTGGGAACGTCACAACGAACGATGCCAAGGAAAGTAAAAACATTGTTAGGGATAGCCAGCTTAGGTACATGGACAGGGCCTTCTGCTTGAAGGATAGGGGTAGGAGACAGAGGGTTTGCTTTCCTGGGGTTGGGATGGAGGATATTGTTAACCGGCTTGACAACATCATGAACGGTAATGGGATCAATCCTATTATCTGCTTCAGTGCTGGAGGCAATGATGTAGGCAAGTGTAGAAGTGAGGATTTAGTTAGAAGGTACAGGACAGCAATAGACATAATTAGAAAGAAGGGGAGGGCACCCTGTTATATGTAGCATTTTGCCAAGAAGGGGTGTTGGAAATGAATGGTTGTCCAGAGCAATTGGTATTAATTGTTGGCTGGACAAGCACTGTAAGGATAATGCAGTACCATTCATTGACAACTGGGACCACTTCTACAGTAGAAATGACATGTTTGCCAGGGATGGGGTTCACTTATCTAGGGCAAGTGTGGGTTTTCTTGGTAGCTCAGTTGAGGGTGTGGTTAGGACTTTAAACTAGGATTAGTTAGAGGTATGGGTTTAGAAAAAGAAAATAATGAGTATGGATATATTGACTTAGGCTTTGATATTATGAATCTTAATAACAGTCATGGAGTAACACAGGGTAATGAAGATTACAGAAATTGTGTAAAAGCAAAGGTGAATAGGAAAAAGGTGCAGAAGAAAAAACATATACATAACTGTATTTCATACTAATGGTCGAAGTGCAAGAAATAAGATTAATAAATTACATTTGGTAGCATGTGCTGGGAACTTTGATGTCATTGCCATAACTAAAACATGGTATGATTTAAAGAGTCGGGATATGATTGCTGAGTGTAATATTCAAGGGTTTAAGCTGTTCCATGTGGATAGATATAATGGGAAGGGGGGAGAAGTTGCATTATATGTATGAGAAAATATAAACTGTTGCATAAAAATAGATATAAAAATAGATGGATTAGTAACAGAATCTGTTTGGGTAGTTTCTAGAAGGTAAAGAAAAACTAATTCTAGGTGTAATATACCAACCTCCATGCTTGGATCACGATAGAGGGCGACTTCTTTGGGAGGAAACTGTTAGGGCTTGTAGACACAATAACATAGTGATAGTAGGGGATTTTAACTTTAGTCAAATTGATTGGACTTCTTTGACCGATAATCTGGAATCCAGTGACTTCAGGACTGTTTTCTGAAGCAGTGTGCAACAGAGCCTACCAGAGGTAATAATTTGCTCAACCTAGTCTTGTCAAATAAGGAAACACTCGTAAATAATCTGGAGATCACTGAAGAGGTTGAAGCTAGTGATCAGCATTAGATGGAATATGAGAATAACGATAATATGGTAAAAGTCCCTGATTTTCGTTGTGCCGATTATAATGGAGTTAGGGAACAGCTGTCTAATCTGGATTATGGTAATCTAGCTAATAATTTTACTGATGATCATACTTACGATTACGAAGGGATCTGAGTTTTTTAATTTTTTCTTAATAATGTACAGCAAGTTCAGAGCATACACATTCCCCAAAGAGATATTAGGTCAAATAATAACAACCCCAAATGGGTTAACAGGAGACTAAAGCATTTTACTAGCAGAGAAAAAGAGAAATTTATAGGCACATCAAAAGAGGAGAGATTAAACTTATTGACCAATATGTTCAGTTAAAAAGAGAAGTAAAAAAGGGGATTAGAAAAGCTAAACGTGACTATGAAATTAAAGTTGCTAATGTATCAAAGAGTAATCCAAAAGGGTTCTTTCAAGTGTACAGGATGAAGGTGAGGGAAAAAGTAGGACCTCTGAAAATTTGGAATGGACAGCTAACGGATAATGAACTATAAATATATTTTTTTTTTTATTATCACACTTGCCGATTCCCACCAAGGCAGGGTGGCCCGAAAAAGAAAAACTTTCACCATCATTCACTCCATCATTGTCTTGCCAGAAGGGTGCTTTACACTACAGTTTTTAAACTGCAACATTAACACCCCTCCTTCTGGAAATGTGTTCTCTATTTAATGATTATTTTTTATCAGTCTTTACTCAAGAAGACGTTAATGAGATTCCAGAAATTAACTATTATTCAGTTCCAGTTTCTGAAGAACTCAAATTAATTAATATTTCTGTCATGAGGGACATGGTTATCAAACAGATAAACTGAAACAAAATAAGTCCCCAGGACACAACGAGTTGTTTTCCAGGGTGCTTAAAGAATGCAAGATGGAACTTAGTCAGCCATTAACGAGCATGTTCAATGCATCCATCTTAACTGGTGTTGTTCCAGAGATGTTGAAGATAGCTGATGTAGTTCCTATATTCAAATCAGGGAATAGGTCCATTCCATTAAATTACCATCCAGTCAGCCTGACATCTATAGTAGGCAAATTAGTAGAATCGATTATAGCTGATATTATTAGAAGTCATCTTTAAGAGCATAATTTGATTAAAAAATCTCAGCAGAGGTTCACGAGAGGTCATTCCTGCCTGATAAATTTACTGACGTTAAATAACAAAAAAGGCACAATACCGTGACTGGAACAACACACAAATAACCCGCACATAGGAGAGAAGAGCTTACGACGACATTTCGGTCCGACTTGGACCATTTACAAAGTCACACTACCAAAAAGGAGAGCAGGATGGGTATATATAGGCAGGAGGTGGTAGTAGTGGAAGGAAGGTAGTAGTCGTGGAGAGGTACTCATACTACCTTCCCACTACTACTTCCTTCCCTCCACTACTACCACTACTACTACTACTACTACCACCTCCTGCCTACATCCTGCTTTCCTTTTCGTTAGTGTGACTTTGTAAATGGTCCAAGTCGGACCGAAATGTCGTCGTAAGGTCCTCTCTTCTATGTGCAGGTTATTTGTGTATTTACTGAAGCTCTTCAATAAAACATTTGAGGCAGTAGACAGTAATAATGAATATGATATTGTTTATTTGGATTTCAGTAAAGCCTTCGATAGAGTACCTCACAAGAGACACTTAAGAAAGGTGGCAGCTCATGGTATAGGAGGAAAACTTCTAGCATGGATAGAGGCAGGGCTTACCAATAGAAAGCAGTTTCCATTAATGGGGTCAAATCTGAATGGGGATTAGTCACTAGTGGCATTCCACAAGGATCAGTTTTAGGCCCTCTCTTGTTTGTAACTTACGTTAATGACCTTGATGAAGGAATTACAAGTGACATGAGCAAATTTGCTGGTGTTACAAAAATAGGCAGTAAGTATAAGGTACTAGTCCTTGGTAATGAAAATAGCCCTCAAAGTTATAAACTAGGTGAAGCAGAGCTTGATCATATAGTATGTGAAAAAGACTTGGGAGTCATGGTAAGCAGAAATCCAAAGCCAAGATAGCAGTGCCTAAGTGTGAGGAATAAGGCTAACAGATTACTGGCTTTTATTTCAAGAAGTGTAAGTAACAGAAGTCCAAAAGTTATTTTACAGCTCTATACATTACTAGTGAGGTCTCATTTGGATTATGCCGCTCTGTTTTGGTCTCCTCACTACAGGATGGATATAGACTCATTAGAGAACACTCAAAGAAGAATGGCTAAAATGATTTACTGTATCAGGAATCTCCTGCATGATGATAGACTTTGAGCCTTGAATCTCCACTCTCTGGAGAGACGTAGAATGAGGGGAGATATCATCAAGGTGTATAAGTGGATGATGGGCATAAACAAAGGTGTAGCTTTAAAAATAGATTGGACAAATATGTAAGTGGGAGGGGCTGGGTCTGATTGGTGTCGTGGGTATGGGAGTTAATTCTTGGATAGTTTTGGGTAGGGGTGGTTTTGATAAGGACCTGCCTTGTATGGATCAGTAGACCTTCTGCAGTGTTCCTCCATTCCTATGTTCTTACTAATGAAAACAGAACAATAGTAATACAAAGGAAAACAATGTACTGATGAAGAGATGCCATGTCATAGTAGAGGTACCATCCAACTTATGACCGAGCTTGGTTCCGACCTACCAGTCGTAAGTCAAATTGGACGCAAGTCGAACCTCAGAAAATTGCCGATAGGGATACTTCAAAAATTAAATATTAATCTTGTAAAGCAATCATTCTTCTATGTTTGTTGTGGAAATCATTTCAATCTGCTCATTATTATTGATTGTTTTTTCACAAAATTGGCGAATAACTTACTTCCGAGATAATAGCCAGAAGCGCATACACACTCGGGAAATATTTTTTTTCCTGAGAAAATCCCTTTTTTCAGCGTTTTCGTAGACTACGAGTGTCTATTACAGTTTGCCCTCATGCCAGATCCGTTTTCTCTCATAATAGTGACAAAAGAAGGGATAATAAGCCTTATGGTTGGTGGTGTCCACAAAGTCCCTTTCCTATCTGCGCAGCAGGATTCATATTATGCTAGATGATATTTATTGTCGTTTTTCTTTGTTTCTATGCTATATTGATATTTTGCCTTATGTTATAATAGATCTACCGTCATAGGAAAATAAGCCTTATTGTTGACATTAGCGTAAGAATAGAACATTTTGTCAGCTGCTCTGTCTCGCTCTTGTGTCAGCACTTCTACCCAGAAGGTTCCTGTATATGAACATCACGGTTATTGTAATGATTTTATTTTATTAGTTTTGTATTTCATTTTTTACTTAACTTTTTATGCTGTTAGTACTGTATTTTATACTGTAAGGTTTAGGTTTAGGAGAAACACTGTGCACAACATAATATTTGCAGCTGGTATGTATGGGGAATCAAATTCAAAATGGGAATTGACACAGTTACTTTTTGCTGATGATACTGTGCTTATGGGAGATTCTAAAGAAAAATTGCAAAGGTTAGTGGATGAGTTTGGGAATGTGTGTAAAGGTAGAAAGTTGAAAGTGAACATAGAAAAGAGTAAGGTGATGAGGGTGTCAAATGATTTAGATAAAGAAAAATTGGATATCAAATTGGGGAGGAGGAGTATGGAAGAAGTGAATGTTTTCAGATACTTGGGAGTTGACGTGTCGGCGGATGGATTTATGAAGGATGAGGTTAATCATAGAATTGATGAGGGAAAAAAGGTGAGTGGTGCGTTGAGGTATATGTGGAGTCAAAAAACGTTATCTATGGAGGCAAAGAAGGGAATGTATGAAAGTATAGTAGTACCAACACTCTTATATGGATGTGAAGCTTGGGTGGTAAATGCAGCAGCGAGGAGACGGTTGGAGGCAGTGGAGATGTCCTGTTTAAGGGCAATGTGTGGTGTAAATATTATGCAGAAAATTCGGAGTGTGGAAATTAGGAGAAGGTGTGGAGTTAATAAAAGTATTAGTCAGAGGGCAGAAGAGGGGTTGTTGAGGTGGTTTGGTCATTTAGAGAGAATGGATCAAAGTAGAATGACATGGAAAGCATATAAATCTATAGGGGAAGGAAGGCGGGGTAGGGGTCGTCCTCGAAAAGGTTGGAGAGAGGGGGTAAAGGAGGTTTTGTGGGTAAGGGGCTTGGACTTCCAGCAAGCGTGCGTGAGCGTGTTAGATAGGAGTGAATGGAGACGAATGGTACTTGGGACCTGACGATCTGTTGGAGTGTGAGCAGGGTAATATTTAGTGAAGGGATTCAGGGAAACCGGTTATTTTCATATAGTCGGACTTGAGTCCTGGAAATGGGAAGTACAATGCCTGCACTTTAAAGGAGGGGTTTGGGATATTGGCAGTTTGGAGGGATATGTTGTGTATCTTTATATGTGTATGCTTCTAGACTGTTGTATTCTGAGCACCTCTGCAAAAACAGTGATAATGTGCGAGTGTGGTGAAAGTGTTGAATGATGATGAAAGTATTTTCTTTTTGGGGATTTTCTTTCTTTTTTGGGTCACCCTGCCTCGGTGGGAGACGGCCGACTTGTTGAAAAAAAAAATGTTTGAAAGAAAGGTTACAAAAGCTATTGCTTGGGTAGCATAAAAAATAGGTTGGGCAAATGTATATGGATGGATCTAAGAAGGCATGTTTCAGTGTCCCTTCTCTATTACATAACATGAAAAAGGAGGAAACTGCAGCAGGCCTGTTGGCCCAAACTTGGAATGCCTTCTCAAATCCATTCACCTATATACATTTGCCCAACCTATTTTTTATGCTACCCAAGCATGACTTTTCCACCACATGTATAACTACTACTACTACCTCTACTTGTGTGGGCGAAACGTTTTCAATAAAGGATCACATTATACTGCTGCATTTGACCATGCGTCTGGCAGCCCTGCTGCCAGATGCACGATCGTAAGTCAAGTAGTCATATGTCACGCAGGTCGTAAGTCGGATGGCAAGTGTATATTTCTCAATGTGGAAAAAAAAAATCCTCTAAACATATCTGGAGAAAACTGCCACAAAGGAACTCTCATTCTGGAGATCTTACATCAGTGACCAGTTATAAACTAACTCAAGCCAATATCTTCCTACTTCAGCCAGATGCAGATTTTAATTTTAATCTCAGATTACCAATGCAGAGGATTGCCACAATGCAAAAAAGAAAAGACTTTTGGCACCATCATTTGTATGAATACGGTTCACAAACTTTTTTTTTTTCAACACGTCAGCCATTTCCCACCGAGGCAAGGTGACCCAAAAAGAAAGAAAAACTTACCGAGTTAATATTTTTTCTAAGGGAGCACTCTTGTCGAGACCATTCATTTAAACGCTGCTGTTCCAGAGCACCATTAAAGAATACAGCAAGCTCTATGTTGTTATTTTGAACTGTTTGCATAAGCACTGCCAAAAACTGCACCATGCGATTCCACTGTCCACCACATACCCAGTCTGGAAGGCATAAATAAATATATAATCAAGCTATTTATTTTATATTTCAAATGAATCATTTTCAGTTATGGAGTCTATGATGTGAAAATCCATTAATGAAATTACATATACATACTAGCTAATCCTTAATTCTGTTCACAGTTGACATAACCTTTGTCATTTGAAAATATATTCAATAATGATGTATTAGTAATAGATAAAGTTTTATTGCTTACAGCAATAATTTAACTCATAATCTTATCTGTAACTATGCATCAGCAATTCTGCCTGCATTCAGGCCTATTTTAAACCATTTCCATTGCTCAATTCAACCTAATTCCTAGCATGCTTGCCAGTATCCTTCCTTTCAATTAACTGCATACAAAAAACTGCCCATTCAAATATCAAATCTACCCAATAAAGTGCACAGGATTCAGTAATTTGTTCAATGTTAAACAAATAAAATAAAAAAAAAATAAAAAAAAAAAAAATAAATACTGGAGGCATTCCATCCACTAAAGAAATGCTTCCTTTGTTCATTAATCATGTCCCCAGGCCTCTCCTATGTAACACTTGTCCTTTATTTTGAATCCATCATCACACAAAAGTTTTATCCTATTTCTTCGCTAATAAAATAGTATAACCAAGAATGACTGGCCATGGTTTAGGCCATCCCAGTAATTGAAGGAGACCTAGTAAAAATCTCTTAGAGGGGCCCTACCCTTATTCAGAAAAATCACCAAAAACTGAATATTTCCTCCACTTTGAGGCCTATTTCAAGCCACTTCTGGTCTGAAACCAACCAAAATCATCCTAATTTCAATAGTATGCTTGTCATTCCATTAACTGATACAAAGACACTGCCAAAAAAAAAAAAAAAAAAACTACCTTTAGAAAGTGACTCAATTTAAACTATTTTAAGCCAACCACAAGATGAGAGGTTAGCTGTTCCCATCATGCACTGCATGGGGAAGTTTTTTTTTTTTTTTGTACACTGCAAACACTGCACAGATCCATTCTCTCTTATACAGACCAAATTTTACTGCTTACAGCATATTTGAGGGCACTGTCATTAAGACAGAACTTTAGACACGTGCAACATCTGGGTATCTTTGTTGTAGACATTTTGCCATCCAGTGGCTTTATTAACCCTTTCAGGGTCCAGAGGCCAAATTTCAAAGTGTGCACCAGTGTCCAAGAATTTTCAAAAAATAATTTTTTTATTTTTCGTATGAAATGGTAGAGAATCTTTTTCTGAAGGTAATAAAACAAAAAGTACAAAATTTGATGGAAAATTGACGAAATTATGCTCTAGCGAATTTTGATGTGTCAGCGATATTTACGCATCGGTGATTTTGCGGACTTTGACTCCCATTTTAGGCCAATTACATTATTCCAATCAACCAAATTCTTAGCTATTTCACTAGTATTACTTCTGTTCTATCGACTGAGCACAAGAATTTGCCAAGTCAACTGTTTCAACTACAAAATAGTGATCAGAAATTGGTAATTTGGCCAATTTAATGCAAAGTTCAAAATACTCCAATTTCAAAATAGGGCCCAGAATAAACAATGCAGGCATTCCAGGCACTAAACTATCATTTCCTCTGTTCATTAGTTACGTTCATTAGTTTACTAATGAATTCCATTTTGATTTTTTCTTCAAATAATGAATTTTTATTCAAACCAAAAAATAGAAGATTTACTGTTATGCAATATTGTAATAATTGTATAAATAATATCAGCACATTTGTGAACATGTATTAGAGCCACCAGCAGGCGTATATTAGACATGTGAGGTCATTTGTTTACTCTTGAATACTGGCAAAAATTTAACATTTCTGCTACTTTGAGCTCAGTTTCAAGCCATTTCCAGTACTAAAACCAATCAAAATCATCCCTATTTCTGTAATATGTCTTCCATTCTATCAAATGAGACCAAGAAATCACAAATACAACTATAAAAAACATACAAAAAACACTGCAAAGTCGCTGTTTTAATCGAAAATTACGGTCTGTTTTTTTTCTCTCATTATGCACTATGTGATGCAGGATTTGTTTTATGTGGTGCACACACATCACATAAATGTATTCTCTCATATCAAGGCCAAAATTTACCACTTACACCTTATCAGAGTGAACTGAGCTCATGACACAGATCTATGGTTTGGACCCTCAACGTAAAGCCGTAGATCTATGGCACAGACCCTCAAGGGGTTAATACAAATTCAAGGACATAATTGGAAGACAGTAGAACTATATACAAAAGATAAGGTAATCAGTTCCTCAGCCTTGGAGTTGGTGTGAAGAGCACCGTAGTCGTGAAGAATCTGAAGCACAGGCAAGAAGGCTGGTGCTTATATATTGGTATCAGGTGGTTAGGGATGGGTAGCAGATGAAGACATTATCACTGGTAGGCAGGATTCCCCAGGACATCTCCAAAACCTTCTTCATTACTACTAACCCATCCCTTGGGCATGACCTGCTTCCACTGGGGTATCCCACCTACACGTGACAATGTCTTCATCTGCTACCCATCACTTACTACCTGACGCCAGAATATAAGCACCAGCCTTCTTACCCATGCTCCAGATTCTTCAGGACTACAGTGCTCTTCACACTAACTCCAAGGGTGAGGGATTAACTACCTCAACTTTTGTATACAGTTCTACTGTCTTCCAATTATGTCCTTGAATTTGTATTGATAAATCCACTGGATGGCAAAACATCTACAATAAGGATACCCAGATATAGCACGTGTCTAATTTTCATCTTGTTGGCATTGTATACCATTCATGTACAAGACAGAACTACTTGAGTGACACAGGTATCAATGATATAGGTCTATGTAGGAGATAGTGAAAGGGTTAACCGTTACATATTAGAGACAGTAATATGTAACAGTATAGCTCTACAAATTTTTGATGGCCAGAAGTAAAATTTTCCATAAGGACAATCTTAATGAATATATATATCATTACTGTTCAATGAACTAGCTAATGTTATCCTCGATAAATTCTCCCAAAACAACATCAACTAAAACTAATAAAAATTTGATTCATTTTGGTAACAATACATACCTGAGAAGAACCCTCCATACAGCCTGTCAAGACAATATTCCCCATCCACCACAAGAGTGAGTGGTGTGTGACCATATCCACCTCTTGGAGCATTGCGCTGATTACCACGTCGTATCCCAACACTCTTTGCAATTTTCAGGAGATCCACGGGGACACACGCACCTGGTACTTGCGACTCTAAAAATCTTTGTAGGTCTTGAATAACCATTTTAAAATGTTTAAAAAATTTTGTTGTGGATGAACTGCCTTAAAAAAATTTTAATTTTAAACTGATATGGTTCTGATTTATTCCCCCTCACATGATTTTTTTTTATTAAGTCCTCATGTTCTTGGCAGCAACACCTGAAAAACAACAAAAACTCTGTAAAATACATGTGATTTTATTCTTTTTTTTTTTTTTTTTTTTTTTTTTTTTCAACAAGTCGGCCGTCTCCCACCGAGGCAGGGTGACCCAAAAAAGAAAGAAAATCCCCAAAAAGAAAATACTTTCATCATCATTCAACACTTTCACCACACTCGCACATTATCACTGTTTTTGCAGAGGTGCTCAGAATACAACAGTCTAGAAGCATAAACATATAAAGATACACAACATATCCCTCCAAACTGCCAATATCCCAAACCCCTCCTTTAAAGTGCAGGCATTGTACTTCCCATTTCCAGGACTCAAGTCCGACTATATGAAAATAACCGGTTTCCCTGAATCCCTTCACTAAATATTACCCTGCTCACACTCCAACAGATCGTCAGGTCCCAAGTACCATTCGTCTCCATTCACTCCTATCTAACACGCTCACGCACGCTTGCTGGAAGTCCAAGCCCCTTACCCACAAAACCTCCTTTACCCCTCTCTCCAACCCTTTCGAGGACGACCCCTACCCCGCCTTCCTTCCCCTATAGATTTATATGCTTTCCATGTCATTCTACTGTGATCCATTCTCTCTAAATGACCAAACCACCTCAACAACCCCTCTTCTGCCCTCTGACTAATACTTTTATTAACTCCACACCTTCTCCTAATTTCCACACTCCGAATTTTCTGCATAATATTTACACCACACATTACCCTTAAACAGGACATCTCCGCTGCCTCCAACCGTCCCTCGCTGCTGCATTTACCACCCAAGCTTCACACCCATATAAGAGTGTTGGTACTACTATACTTTCATACATTCCCTTCTTTGCCTCCATAGATAACGTTTTTTGACTCCACATATACCTCAACGCACCACTCACCTTTTTTCCCTCATCAATTCTATGATTAACCTCATCCTTCATAAATCCATCCGCCGACACGTCAACTCCCAAGTATCTGAAAACATTCACTTCTTCCATACTCCTCCTCCCCAATTTGATATCCAATTTTTCTTTATCTAAATCATTTGACACCCTCATCACCTTACTCTTTTCTATGTTCACTTTCAACTTTCTACCTTTACACACATTCCCAAACTCATCCACTAACCTTTGCAATTTTTCTTTAGAATCTCCCATAAGCACAGTATCATCAGCAAAAAGTAACTGTGTCAATTCCCATTTTGAATTTGATTCCCCATAATTTAATCCCACCCCTCTCCCAAACACCCTAGCATTTACTTCCTTTACAACCCCATCTATAAATATATTAAACAACCATGGTGACATTACACATCCCTGTCTAAGACCTACTTTTACAGGGAAGTAGTCTCCCTCTCTTCTACACACCCTAACCTGAGCCTCACTATCCTCATAAAAACTCTTTACAGCATTTAATAACTTACCACCTATTCCATATACTTGCAACATCTGCCACATTGCTCCTCTATCCACTCTATCATATGCCTTTTCTAAATCCATAAATGCAATAAAAACTTCCCTATCTTTATCTAAATACTGTTCACATATATGCTTCAATGTAAACACCTGATCTACACATCCCCTACCCACTCTAAAACCTCCTTTGCTCATCCGCAATCCTACATTCTGTCTTACCTCTAATTCTTTCAATTATAACCCTACCGTACACTTTTCCTGGTATACTCAGTAAGCTTATTCCTCTATAATTTTTACAGTCTCTTTTGTCCCTTTCCTTTATATAAAGGGACTATACATGCTCTCTGCCAATCCCTAGGTACCTTCCCCTCTTTCATACATTTATTAAACAAAAGTACCAACCACTCCAACACTATATCCCCCCCTGCTTTTAACATTTCTGTCATGATCCCATCATTTCCAGCTGCTTTTAAACCCCCTTTCATTTTACGTAATGCCTCACGTACCTCCCCCACACTTACATTCTGCTCTTCTTCACTCCTAAAAGATGGTATACCTCCCTGACCAGTGCATGAAATTACTGCCTCCCTTTCTTCCTTAACATTTAAAAGTTCCTCAAAATATTCTCGCCATCTACCCAATACCTCCATCTCCCCATCTACTAACTCCCCTACTCTGTTTTTAACTGACAAATCCATATTTTCCCTAGGCTTTCTTAACTTGTTTAACTCACTCCAAAATTTTTTCTTATTTTCATTAAAATTTCTTGACAGTGCCTCTCCCACTCTATCATCTGCTCTCCTTTTGCACTCTCTCACCACTCTCTTTACCTTTCTTTTACTCTCCATATACTCTGCTCTTCTTATAACACTTCTGCTTTGTAAAAACCTCTCATAAGCTACCTTTTTCTCTTTTATCACACCCTTTACTTCATCATTCCACCAATCACTCCTCTTTCTCCTGCCCCCACCCTCCTATAACCACAAACTTCTGCCCCACATTCTAATACTGCATTTTTAAAACTATTCCAACCCTCTTCAACCCCCCCACTACTCATCTTTGCACTAGCCCACCTTTCTGCCAATAGTCGCTTATATCTCACCCGAACTTCCTCCTCCCTTAGTTTATACACTTTCACTTCCCTCTTACTTGTTGTTGCCACCTTCCTCTTTTCCCATCTACCTCTTACTCTAACTGTAGCTACAACTAAATAATGATCCGATATATCAGTTGCCCCTCTATAAACATGTACATCCTGGAGCCTACCCATCAACCTTTTATCCACCAATACATAATCTAATAAACTACTTTCATTACGTGCTACATAAATACCTTGTATATTTATTTATCCTCTTTTTTCATAAAATATGTATTACTTATTACCAAATTTCTTTCTACACATAGCTCAATTAAAGGCTCCCCATTTACATTTACCCCTGGCACCCCAAATTTACCTACTACTCCCTCCATAACATTTTTACCCACTTTAGCATTAAAATCCCCAACCACCATTACTCTCACACTTGATTCAAAACTCCCCACGCATTCACTCAACATTTCCCAAAATCTCTCTCTCTCCTCTACACTTCTCTCTTCTCCAGGTGCATACACGCTTATTATAACCCACTTTTCACATCCAATCTTTATTTTACTCCACATAATCCTTGAATTAATACATTTATAGTCCCTCTTTTCCTGCCATAGCTTATCCTTCAACATTATTGCTACTCCTTCTTTAGCTCTAACTCTATTTGAAACCCCTGACCTAATCCCATTTATTCCTCTCCACTGAAACTCTCCCACCCCCTTCAGCTTTGTTTCACTTAAAGCCAGGACATCCAGCTTCTTCTCATTCATAACATCCACAATCATCTCTTTCTTATCATCTGCACAACATCCACGCACATTCAGACTTCCCACTTTGACAATTTTCTTCTTCTTATTCTTTTTAGTAATCTTTACAGAAAAGGGGTTACTAGCCCATTGTTCCCGGCATTTTAGTTGACTTTTACAACACGCATGGCTTACGGAGGAAAGATTCTTATTCCACTTCCCCATGGATATAAAAGGAAAATTAATAAGACCAAGAACTATTAAGATAAAATCAAAGAAAACTCAGATGAGTGTGTATAAATAAATGTGTACATGTATGTGTAGTGTGACCTAAGTGTAAGTAGAAGTAGCAAGACATGCCTGTAATCTTGCATATTTATGAGACAGACAAAAGACATCAGCAATCCTACCATCATGTAAAACAATCACAGGCTTCGTTTTACACTCACTTGGCAGGACGGTAGTACCTCCCTGGGTGGTTGCTGTCTACCAACCTACTACTTATATGCATTAATACAAAAATACATATAATAATACAGAATCCTTCATTTCTGAAATATAGCACAAACAAATTCTGTTACAATAGTTACATTTTACCATGGCTTTTATGACTATTTTTTTATTAACACATCAGCCATCTCCCACTGAAAAATAAAAACTTTCACCATCATTCACTCCATCACTGTCTTGCCAGAGGCATGCCTACACTACAGTTATACTTCCCATCTCCAGGACTCAAGTCCAGCCTGCCAATTTCCCTGAATCCCTTCATAAACATTACCTTGCTTACACTCCAACAGAACGTCAATTAATACCATTTTTATGAGGAAGTACTAAATTCATAAAGGTCATGCAGGGTCATCAACCTGTTGTCCCATTCACTTAACAAGCAAGTAGGTACCTGGGTGTTAGTCAACTGGTGTGCATTGCATCCTGGGGGACAAGATTGAGGACCCCAATGGAAATATGACAAATCCCTTGATGATGCACTGCCTTTCTTGGGTTATCCTGGGTGGCTAACTCTCAGGGGTTAAGAATCCAATGAAATATTATCTTATAGTGTTTAGATAAAATTCCCAATAGCAGCTCATTAATACAGTACCACAGTACAGTACTATGATACGACTCGTGTAGTGTTAGTTTGATGCTTACAGGCTCACTAAACATATTATAGCAAAATATAAAACTACAAACTAAAAAGTGAGCCTCTCCACAGTGAATATGTCATCACACACATACTAATACCTGAATTCTCTATGTTAACATATAATGCAGAGAATTCGTAGTTTGGAAATTAGGAGAAGGCGTGGGATTACCAAAACTATTACCCAGAGGGCTGAGGAGGGGTTGTTGAGGTGGTTTGGACATGTAGAGAGAATGGAACAAAACAGAATGACTTCAAGAGTGAATAAATCTGTAGTGGAGGGAAGGTAAGGTAGGGGTCGGCCTAGGAAAGGTTGGAGTGAGGGGGTAAAGGAGGTTTTTGTGTGCGAGGGGCTTGGACTTCCAGCAAGCATGCATGACCGTATTTGATAGGAGTGAATAGAGACAAATGGTTTTTAATACTTGACATGCTGTTGGAGTGTGAGGAAAGTAACATATATGAAGGGATTCAGGAAGAAACCAGCAGGCCGGACTTGAGTCCTGGAGATGGGAAGTACAGTGTCTGCACTCTGAAGGAGGGGTGTTAATGTTGTGGTTTTATAACTGTAGTGTAAAGCAAGAAGGGTGCTTTAGACTACACACTTACACATCAGCCAATTCCCACCCTGCCTTGGTGAGAATCAGCCGATGTGTTAATAAAAAAAAATAGAACATATTCAGAGTTGGTTCTCAATGTCTGACTTAATAAAATGTCATTTTTGATGAAGTTATGCTGCTCTGATCAACCACTCAATACTCCTCACTTTTGCTGACCCAGCTTTTTCAGTTAAAAACTGTTGAAATGATGTTTACATAAATCTTCAACTTATTACAGTAAATTCACTTCATAAACTGATCAATATTGAGTTTAGCTGCTCGGTTACTGACTATAAATTCTCCAGGGTCAGGTGGGTTGCATAATGGAGACAATGAAGTTACATTTTCCATAAATGGGATAAAAACTACTTTTTTAGTAACAAAACCTACTCAGATGTAACCCAACCTAACCTAGACAGAATTACTTCTAGACTTTGCTAGGTTTGGTTTACATTATGTTGAGATTCTTGACCACAAAATAGTTTATTTTCATAGGCCTAAAACATGTCTCACAAATAATCCACACTGAGAAGAGGAAATTTATGGCGTTTCTTCTTCTAAGTACAGGTTATCCAGCCATGGATAACTTTTTCATTCTTTATACAGTGAAACCTCAAATTTCGAACGTATCACTTATCGAACTTTTCGAAAATCGAACGCTTTTTTCGAACCAACTTTGTCCCTATTATCGGACTCGCCCCTATTTTCGAACTGCCGGGTACTGGACCTGTCCAGCAGCCTGCTCTATCTGCGTCCCCACACAGGCACCGTGAGCCAGTCTGGTTTTGTTGATGCTTGAGTGAACACTAATCTTCGCTCTCATTCAAACATTTTACGATTACATGTACTTCATTGTGTTTAGTGCTTGTGGGACTGTGAAATAAGCTACCACGGGCCCAAAGAAACTTGTTAGTAGTATCCCTGTGGTAAATAAAGTGAGAAACACAATAGATGTGAAGAAGGAAATACAGAAGTATGAGAGTGGTGTGAGACTTGTTGAGCTTGCCAGGATGTACAGAGGACTGTGGACAGTTTGTGAGACAGAAACAGAGGACTGTAGACAATTATTTTGTGAGACAGAAACAGAGGACTGTAGATAGTTATTTTGTGAGACAGGGGTCCAGTGACTCTCAAGCTGGTCCTAGTGGTATTAAAATACAGAGAAGGGAAGTAACCCCAGAGAGGGCTTTGATACCTGACGTCCTCATGGAGGGGGAGTCCCCTTCCAAACACTAACCCCAACTCCCTCTCTCCTCCTCCCTATCTTCCAGATGCCATCGCCAATCTTCAGTAAAGGTAAGTAAAAATGTTATTTTATATGTTTATTTACATTTATTAATACATAATTGAACACTATATTTGTTGTGTGTATGTATAACTATAATTAATCTCTACAAAATGTATTTTTTTTTGTGAATATTTTTGGGTTTCTGGAACGGATTAATTGTACAGTGGAACCTCAAATATCGAACTTTCTTCTTTCCAGACGGCTGTTCGAGTGCCGTTACCGAACTAATTTATTCCCATCAAAAATAATGTAAATTAGATTAGTTCATTTCAGACCATCAAAAATACACTTATAAAAGCACTTACAAAAATACACTTACATAATTGGTTGAGTTGAGAGCAGTTCGATATTTGAGGTTCCACTGTATTTCCATTATTGCTTATGGGAAATATTGCTTCGCTTTTCAGACTTTTTGAATTTAGAACTAACTCCTGGAATGGATTAAGTTCAATATTTGAGGTTCCACTGTATAATAACTCCATTGCACAACCCACTTCACAGAAAATTTGGTAAACTGCTCCTCAGCAGATTTCAACCATTACTTATAGTTTGAATGGTACAGTATTGAGACTTTTACAGTTAAAACAGTTTTGTGCAAATACAGTAGAACCTCCACATCCACTGATGCAGTATCCGTGGTTTCAGTTATCCACGGTTCACTGTGGTCCAAAAATACCTCTTAATTTTGCATAATAATGGCTCCAAAGTGCAAAAGTAGAGAAGCTAGCAGTTCTTGAAAGCCTAAGAAAAAACAGGAAGTGCTTCCCATCAATGAAAAAGTGATAATTCTCCACTTACTGTGCACAATTTATTAATGAAACTTTATAATAGGTATCCATGCCAGGTCCTTGGAACATATCCCTTGCAGATATGGGGGTCCTACTGTACTGCAATGAAAAATGTAATCTAATGTAACAAAACTAACTGAACCTAAACTAAAATAACTTAACCTTACTCTGCCATCAGTACTGGTGCATCTTGTTTGCATATGAACAGGTAAGTGACAAGAATACCAACAACTGATTAAATCAGACATGCTGAGAAGCCAACATAAATGTACTGTTTTTGCTAGTATCTCCCAAAATAACAATTTGTACAAGAAATACTTACTTATTCCTAGGTATACATAGAATGTACGTCCTATAAATGGTAAACTAATATCTGAGTTCTGCAAAGCAGTAGTCAGCAACTATAGCTAAAAATTTACACAAATTATATTTAAGGTGAAATCCCAGCAGGTAAACTCACTACCTACCCATGAATTATTATAGTGATTAGGAAACAATAAACGAATAGGGATTATTTGGTATTCGCCTAGCAGTGTGTGCATGTTTAACACTGTTGTGGGTGGCTTCCCGCACCCCAATGCAACCAAGCCACACCGACTTTCTTGGGTTATCCTGGGTTACAACACCTAAGGGTTAATAATACAAATAAAATCTTATGCTGTGGCTTTCATAAAGTACTAAACTCATGTGGGTCATTCAGGCACATGAGTGGCAGAGGCTCAATCCTGTTGGGTAACTGCAGGCCTGGATGGCTAGTCACATTGTTAGTGATTCCAAATAAAGATAGTATTTTGTAACCTCAGGAAGTCTTGAACTAAGGAGCATTGCATAAGAGAAAAAATTATGAAGTACCTGAAACCAGCTTGCAAAAATGTTAAGGTGCAAATTTATTATATTCTAAATGTAGTAGCATTCAAGGGAAACTATCAAATTAATTCACATAATTACTGTACATGAATGGGGAAGTACTAGTCGTAAGAGTCCTACAATGCCTGAAGATAAACTCAGCTGTTTTAACTTTGTAAAATTTAAATAATAAAATATTACAAGGACCCTAATGGAAATAAGTCACTATCTGACTTTCTTAGGGTTATCTTAGGTACTTACTCTAAGTATGATCATTGTTCTTAAGTGTACCTGTTATAAATAAACTTGCTTAATGAGAGGCAGTCTGGTTTGTTAAGATGAAGGGGACTAGAACTAACGCATCCCAATAGAAATATCACTTGACTTTGTTTGAGGGGTTACCTTAGGTAATTTACACACGTTACTAGGTTTGATAATTGTAATTATGTATAACTGTACCTAAATCAATTTACTCGCTAATCAGCATCACATCACCCAACCTTTAGGGAAGACAAAAAAAAAGTAAATTAATTTCCGTTAAGGTTATTTGACCTCGAAAGGTTATTAACCTAAGATGACCCAAAAGAGCCTGATAATATGGCTTATTTACAGTGTGGTGCATCCATGGGATAGTAGGTACAGCAGGAGAGTCACCAGCCGGGTGTAGGGCATCAGCTTGGTGCACACCACCACCACCTCTCAACACACGTCTCCAACACTTCCCAACCACTACCCCCCCAGCTGAAGGGGTTAGAACAAGGAGTTTACCTGGGCGTGGGTCCCGGGGTCTGGCTTACTCAGCTTCCAGCACAGCTGTTCCTCCTCCTGCTGCTGCTGCTGTTTCTGCTGGTGTTGGCGCAGGCGGCCACAGCACCACCTAAGCGGGTCGATTCCACCCACTTCTTTCCCTCTTGGGCCGCACTGACAGCTCCACTCACCTACCTGCACTGCTAAGGTGCAACCTCACACATCCTTCTACCCTGACAAATTCAAAATTTCGGTCAAAATGGCCCGAGTTTATTGACAATTGGTGATTGTGTATTAGTGAGGCTGGCTGACGTCAGGCCACACCTCGCTCCAGATGGCGCCACCACAACCCGCCAAAATTTAAATAAACAAATAAATAAATTAAGTATGTAAGTTTATTTAAGCACAGGTACACATAGGTACAATTATCATACATGGTGTAAATTACCTAGGATAACCAAGAAAATCCAGATAAAGTGACTTATTTTCATTGTATCACGAAGTAAAAAAATATTATTTTTGGGACCCTGCATAAATATTTCCCATGAATACTGTGCTCTTTGGGCATAATTTTATGAAAAAAATTTTTTATGATAAATACAGCACTACTGTAAAACGCATAATATTCGCGGAATACTATAAAACCCGCTTCCATAAATATCAGAAAAAATGCGATCAATAAAGTTTGTGCACTATGGGTAAGATGTAAATTATTATTATAATAGGATGTTTAAAATATTACTTCAAAATAAGGTCTTTATAACATGCTTCAGAATCTTTCAAACTTGCTACGATATGAACATCAAATAAATCTACATCATGAGTAATTTAAAACATAAGTAATATAAAACACCTTGGTTACTAACCAGGTAATAAAGAGAGTAAGAAAACTAGGCTACCTCCCCTCCCTCTTTTTTTTTCTACTTACAAAGTTAAACATATGTTCCATTTCAAAATTAATAAACTCGTAAAAATCATACCAAACGCGTTTTGTATTAGTATCTAGTTTTTAGTATATAATTTTAAAACGTTATGTGTACTTTTACTTATTAGTCATTAGTGGAAAAATAGACACATAAGCCGTGTAATGTGATTCTTTATTGACAACGTTTCGCCCACACAGTGGGCTTTATCAGGCTGATTGGACGTTAATTTGAAGGAATCGACTTATCCCCTTATTTGAATATAAGAACTACATTAACTATCTTCCACATCTCTGGCACAACACCAGTTAAGATGAACGCATTAAACACGCTCCTGAATGGCTGATTAAGTTCCATCTTGCATTCAGTACCCTGGAAAACAACTCGTCGGGTCCCTGCGACTTAATTTGTTTCACTTTATCTGTCTGTTTGATAACATGTCTCTCGTGACAGTAATATTAGTTAATTTGAATTCTTCAGGAACTGAATAATTGTTAATTTCTAGAATCTCATTTACGTTTTCTTGTGTAAAGACTGACAAAAAATAATCGCTTGTAATTCCTTCATCTAGGTCATTAATGTAAATTATAAACAACAGAGGGCCTAAAATTGACCCTTGTGGAACGCCACTAGTTACTAATCCCCATTCAGATTTAACCCCATTAATGGAAATTCTGCTTTCTGTTGGTAAGCCATGCTTCTATCCATGCTAGAACTTTTCCTCTTATACCATGAGCTGCCACTTTTCTTAAGAGTCTTTTTTTTTGTGTGTGAGGAACTCTTTCGAAGGCCTTACTGAAATCCAAATAAACAATATCATATGCTTTATCACTGTCTACTGCCTCAAATGTTTTATTGAAGAATGCCAGTAAATTTGTCAGGCAGGAACGACCTCTCATGTCTTCCTTTGCAGATGACACCCGAATCTGCGTGACATTGTCCTCCACTGAAGACACTGCAAGACTCCAGGCGGACATCAACCAAACCTTTAAATGGGCTGCAGAAAACAAAATGAAGTTCAATGATGAGAAATTTCAATTACTCCGATATGGAAAACGTGAGGAAATTAAAACTTCATCGGAGCATAAAATAAATTCCAAACTCACAACAGAGCGAAAAACTAATGTTCAAGACCTGGAGTTTACCTGGAGAGAGTTCCGGGGGTCAACGCCCCCGCGGCCCGGTCTGTGACCAGGCCTCCTGGTGGATCAGAGCCTGATCAACCAGGCTGTTACTGCTGGCTGCACGCAAACCAACGTACGAGCCACAGCCCGGCTGGTCAGGAACCGACTTTAGGTGCTTGTCCAGTGCCAGCTTGAAGACTGCCAGGGGTCTGTTGGTAATCCCCCTTATGTGTGCTGGGAGGCAGTTGAACAGTCTCGGGCCCCTGACACTTATTGTATGGTCTCTTAACGTGCTAGTGACACCCCTGCTTTTCATTGGGGGGATGTTACATCGTCTGCCAAGTCTTTTGCTTTCGTAGTGAGTGATTTTCGTGTGCAAGTTCGGTACTAGTCCCTCTAGGATTTTCCAGGTGTATATAATCATGTATCTCTCCCGCCTGCATTCCAGGGAATACAGGTTTAGGAACCTCAAGCGCTCCCAGTAATTGAGGTGTTTTATCTCCGTTATGCGCGCCGTGAAAGTTCTCTGTACATTTTCTAGGTCAGCAATTTCACCTGCCTTGAAAGGTGCTGTTAGAGTGCAGCAATATTCCAGCCTAGATAGAACAAGTGACCTGAAGAGTGTCATCATGGGCTTGGCCTCCCTAGTTTTGAAGGTTCTCATTATCCATCCTGTCATTTTTCTAGCAGATGCGATTGATACAATGTTATGGTCCTTGAAGGTGAGATCCTCCGACCTGGGTGTAATTATGACAGAAAATCTCACCTTCAAGGACCATAACATTGTATCAATCAAATCTGCTAGAAAAATGACGGGATAGATAATGAGAACCTTCAAAACCAGGGATGCCAAGCCCATGATGACACTCTTCAGGTCGCTTGTTCTATCTAGGCTGGAATATTGCTGCACACTAACAGCACCTTTCAAGGCAGGTGAAATTGCTAGCCTAGAAAATTTACAGAGAACCTTCACGGCGCGCATAACTGAGATGAAACACCTCAGCTTAATGGGAACGCTTGAAGTTCCTAAACCCGTACTCCCTAGAACGCAGGCGGGAGAGATACATGACTATATACACTTCTAAAATCCTAGAGGGATTAGTACCAAACTTGTACACGAAAATCATTCCTTATGAAAGTAAAAGACTCTGCAGTCGATGCAACATCCCCCCAATGAAAAGCAGGGGTGCCACTAGCACGTCAAGAGACAACACAATGAATGTCAGGGGCCCAAGACTATTCAACTCCCTCCCAACATACATAAGGAGGATTACCAATAGACCCCTGGCTGTTTTTAAGCTGTCACTGGACAAGCACCTAAAGTCGGTACCTGACCAGCCGGGCTGTGGTTCGTACGTTGGATTGCGTGCAGCCAGCAGTAACAGCCTGGCTGAGCAGGCTCTAATACACCATGAGACCTGGTCACAGACCGGGCGGCGGGGTCGTTGACCCCCGGAACTCTCTCCAGGTATACTCTCGTGAACCCATGCTCTGATTCATTAATCAAATAATGATCTTCACGATGACTTATAATAATATCAGCTATAACTGATTCTGATAATTTACCTACTATAGACGTCAGGCTTATTGGACGGTAATTTGATGGAATGGACTTAACCCCTGATTTGAATATAGGAATTGCATTAGCTATCTTCCACATTTTTGGCACAACACCAATTAGGATGGGCGCATTAAACACGTTCGTTAATGGCTGATTAAGTTCCATCTTGTATTCTTTAAGTACCCTGGAAAACAACTTGTCGGGTCCCGGGGACTTATTTTGTTTCAGTTTGTCTATCTTTTTATTTATTTATTTATTTAGTATTTTGAGCATACATACAGAGGTACAAAAAATACAGGTAAGAGCAGCATACCAAAGTCACTTGTATGCATAGCATTACGGACTGGCTTAAAATTAACTTAAGATTAACTAAGCAATGATGAAATCAATGATAAAACATTATTGTAAACAGATAACAATAAAGCACAAATGAGTATTACAAAGACAGGTCATATGGTTGCATGCGTTTCTGTACATTCAGTGGAATGGAGTATTCTGTTAGGTTACCTGTAGGTTATTCCGGGGATCAACGCCCCCGCGGCCCGATCCATGACCAGGCCTCCCGATGGATCAGGGCCTGATCAACTAGGCTGTTACTGCTGGCCGCACGCAGTCCAACGTACGAGCCACAGCCCGGCTGATCCGGCACTGACTTTAGGTATCTGTCCAGCTCCCTCTTGAAGGCAGCCAGGGGCTTATTGGCAATTCCCCTAATGCTTGATGGGAGGCTGTTGAACAGTTTTGGGCCCCAGACACTTATGGTGTTTTCCCCTTAGTGTACCAATGGCGCCCCTACTTTTTATTGGGGGCATTTTGCATCGCCTGCCCAGTCTTTTACTTTCGTAGGGAGTGATTTCTGTGTGCAGATTTGGGACCATTCCTTCCAAGATTTTCCAAGTGTAGATTATGATATATCTCTCATTCCTGCGTTCCAACGAGTACAAGTCAAGTGCTTCCAAGCGTTCCCAGTAGTTAAGGTGCTTGACAGAACTTATACGTGCAGTAAAGGATCTCTATACACTCTCTAGATCTGCGATTTCACCTGCTTTGAATGGAGATGTTAATGTACAGCAGTATTCCAGCCTAGAGAGAACAAGTGATTTGAAAAGGATCATCATTGGCTTGGCATCTCTCGTTTTGAAAGTTCTCATTATCCATCCCATCATTTTCTTTGCACGTGCGATCGTGGCACTGTTGTGATCCTTGAAAGTGAGATCCTCAGACATTACTACTCCCATGTCCCTTACATTATTTTTCCACTCTATTGTATGGCCGGAGTCAGTAGTATACTCTGTTCTAGTTATTATCTCCTCCAGTTTTCTATAACGGAGTAGTTGGAATTTGTCCTCATTGAACATCATATTGTTTACCGTTGCCCACTGGAAAACTTTGTTTATATCTTCTTGGAGGTTAACCGCGTCCTCAGCAGATGACAGCCTCATGCAGATCCTAGTATCATCCGCAAAGGATGATACGGTGCTGTGGTGTATATCTCTGTCTATGTCTGATATGAGGATAAGGAATAAGATGGGGGTGAGTACTGTGCCTTGTGGAACAGAGCTCTTCACTATGGCAGCCTCCGATTTAACTCTGTTGACCACTACTCTTTGTGTTCGATTTGTTAGGAAGTTGAAGATCCATCTCCCCACTTTCCCAGTTATTCCTTTAGCACGTATTTATGGGCTATTACGCCATGATCGCATTTGTCAAATGCTTTTGCAAAGTCTGTG